ATTTATCTCATTTGACCCTCAGGATAATTCCTGAAAAATAGGGCAGGTGTTAATATACCCGTTTTTTAATAGTGAGGAACTTAGTCAGAGATTAAGCAACAAACGTTAGTAATTGAAAACATTTCTGTAGCTCTTACGCAGTTTATGGAGAAAGTTCTTGTGTATTTTTTCACTCCTTTTTGTTCCTCTTTTCTTCATCGCCCAGTGAACCCCACATGGACAGCTGTTCTAGCATCTGTAGCAAGTTATTGCACTGATATATGTACGTATCTCTTTATCAACTGCCTTGGAAGCTCTTTGAGACTAGAGACCCTCTCTACATTTGTCTCTGTATCCTTAGTATCTTGTAAGAATGCAATGAATATTTTCTGAATGAATCTTGAATGAAAAAAATATATTTTGAAAAACTTAAAATTGAGACAACATAATAGGGTCAGTGGAACAATTTGGGAAAGTTCCACTGAAGGACTCCCCCCAGTGTCCCTTCACAGTACCCTCTGCAAGGCTGGGCCTTTGGAAAAGTGAACGAGTGCTAATTCATTACAGTTGCGTGACATCTTGGCAATTTGCTCGCATAGTCCTTTGGCAAGGTCTTGAATATTCATGTTTGAAAACAAGTTCAAGTGCTAGGAGAATTGCTTTCCTGTTTATCAGGAACGTAGTTATGTTGAAGAGGTCCTTCCGGGATGCTGTGAACTTTTTTTCTTTTCTTTTAAGGAAGAATAACGGTGGTTTGGGAGTAATGTTAAGAGCGTTTTGACCTTGTTATAGATCCAGTTTACTCATGTTGACCATCCTCTTAATGGTCTTTATGGCTATTAATTTATCTAAGGTCGCATTTGAAGCTCAGTTTAGCTTGCCTATAGCTTGATTATGCAGTTGCCTGATGCGGTCCCAGCAGGGCAGAGGAGTATGAATTTACATGTAGTTACACAGCATGCACCAAAGTGATTTGCTTCTGTGCTTAGCTTCTCTTCTCGTGCTAACCGAGGAGTACAGGTGTTGTTTTTGATAACCTGTCCTGCTTCTGCTAGAGCCAGTGATTTCCTTTATTTTTATTTTTTTCAGTGCTTTCCTTTAAAAGAAACCAAAGGGAGGGGACAGAATACAAATTAAAGCCACCTTGAAGGGCTATTTTACACCTAGTAAATGAAAGAACAAAATCCAGTAGTGGTGAGGTGATGATAAAATTGTAAACACTCTTATTGTAATGCTGGCAATACTAGAAATGATATAATCTTTGGGAAGTTATTTGGCTTTGTATAGCATTGACTCTACTTCTGGTACTAATTACTGCTACACATTATTCAAGGGAATAGAAAAAAGCTCCACATTTTTATTGCAGTGCTATATATGATAACAAAATTCTGGGATGGGCCTAGATGTTAATCTAGAGGACGTGTTTACCAAATTATGGCATAGCAACATGATGGATTTTTATATAACCTTGAAAATGTGATTATCAAGACAATGTAAGAGCTTGAAAATTGGTTACTATGCAATTAGTGTCAAGAAGAACTGAACGTAAAGCATACTAATCTGTAGTGTAAATGCCAGGGGTCAAAGGCTAGACGTTAATATGCAAAAATAAATAGAGCTTTATTTATGTAATGAGATTGTGGGTAATGTTTTGTCTTTAATGTTGATGATTTATGCTTTTTTTAAATAAGCTTTTTTATTTTGGAACGATTTTAGATTTACAGCAAAGTTACAGCAATAGTACAGATTTTCCATAGACTTCTGACTCGAATTACCCTATTAATAATCTGTTTTTTATAGTATCTTTGTAATTTTTATTTTAAATTAAAAAGACAAACATTCCAAAGGTGATGAAAGATAATGTTAATGATCACCTGTATCCCTCCCATGTTAATAGCCTGTAGTGTAACTTTATCTGTGCTCTTACAAATTTGTCTATATGTATTATTGTTATTATTAGGATAATGTGATGTGTGATAATATCATTCTGCAACTTGTTTCACATAATATACCATGGACAAAAGGAGCCCTGGTGGTACAATGGTTAAAGCAATCGGCTGCCAACTGAACCATCAGTGGTTTGAACCCACCAGTGGCTCTGCAAGAGAAAAGACCTGATGATCTGCTCCCATAAAGATTACAGCCTAGGACCAACTCTTCAGACAAAGATTAGACTGGACTATGGGACATAAAATGATACCCGTGAAGAGTGTGCTTCTTAGCTCAAGTAGATACTTGAGACTAAATGGGCAGCTCCTGTCCGGAAGTGAGATGAGAAGGCAGAGAGGGTCAGGAGCTAGTTGAATGGACGCGGGAGATCAGGGGTGGAAAGGAGGAGTGTGCGGCCACAGTATAGGGAGAGCAACTAGGGTCACATAGCAATGTATGTATAAATTTTTGTATGAGAGACTAACTTGAATTGTAAACTTTCCCTTAAAGTACAACAATAAAAGGAAAAGTGAGACATGAAGAATCAAACAATGCGAAACCCGCCCATAAAGCAATGCCTACCTAGAATATCGACGTTTTCTAATTAAGGAGAGCTGAAGATTCTAAAACAGGTGCCAAGCAAGGCATCTGGCACCAGAGGACAGGGGTTTGTAGAGTGGACCCAGGACTGCTTCAGAGCTGCGAATCGCTCCCTCATTTCAGCTGCAAAAGCAGCTTAAACGCTAACCACAAGGCGTATTCACATAATGTAGTTAAGGCCATGGGGCGTTATTTAACCCAGTAATTGCACTTCGGAGTCTTCTCTATTCTCCTTTATACATATTTCTTAGATTTAAATTTATGTTCAGGACTTGGATGTCTAGGACGATATTGAAACAATAACTTGTAACTTGACAACATCAGAATTATGCAGTTGGATAAACTTGCATGAAAAATAGGTAGGAGGAGGGATAAAGAGGTGGAGCACAGGGTATCTTCAGGGCAATAAAACTGTTCTGTACGATACTGTAATGGCGGACGCATGATATGATGCATTTGTCAAAACCCACAGGACTGCACAACACAAAGAGTGACTAAATTCTCATGTCAACTGTGGACTTCAGTTAATAACAATGTATTAATATTGGTTCATCATTTGTAACAAACGTGCCACAGGAGTGAAAGATGTTACTAACAGGATAAATAATGTGCACAGGAGCGAGGGGGTATATGGGAACTCATTGTACTTCCTGTGCAGTTTTTCTGTATGCCTGAAACTGCCCTGAAAAAATAGTATCTTTAAAAAAAAAAAAAAAGTTTACAGCCTAGGAAACCCTAGGGGGCAGTTCTACTCTGTCCTATGTGGCCACTGTGAGTCAACATCGACGGCACCCAACAATGACATACCATGGACATCTAGTGCTCTGCAACCCTGCCTGTTTTAAAGAAATACTGACTGCCAGTATCTTTACTGGATTCTTACTCTGTCTACAATTGGGCTCAAGAATCATAATTTTTTAAAGCTCTCTACATAATATAATGTGCAAGTCAGGCCTAAGAACCAGTACGTTAGATAGTTCTCAGTCATAGCTAGGTTTTAATTTTTTTATGGTGTGGCTATGCCAGTATTTGTTCGGTGGTTTCTCTGTTGATGGGTTTCCAGCTTTTTCCATCATTTAAACAATGCTGTGTGTAATTAAACATTTTTGTGCATCCTTATGCATCGGTGCTCTCTGTAGGATGTTGTTGTTAGGTGCCATCAAGTCGGTTCCGACTCATAACGACCCTATGTACAACAGAACAAAATGCTGGCAAGGGCTCAAAAATGATTTTACTGGGCCAAAGTGTATGTACATTTTAAATGTTAATTGTTCTTCCCAGTTTACTTTCCTAAAGAAATTTTAGTAACTGTAAAGATTTTTCTTTTTACGTATATAAGCTTTACCATCAAACTTTCAAGGTTAATCCTTTTTGCTTACACAGTGACACATGACAGATTATTCTTACTGGCAGAAGCCACAAAACACTGGCACTCTCATTATAATGTTGGAATGTTTAATGTACACAAGAAGCCTTTAGGAGGGAATCTTGTATTGATTGTTTTGTTTTCCAACAATAGGCTTAAGCATTCAGAAGATAACTGTCTCATGCTTGACTTGTTTTCTGGCACTCAGGCACCTTCTTCATTAGTTCCTTAAACATCGTTTTGAAAGCTCAATCCCGCATAGCTTCAAGGCTAGGAAAGAGGGTCTAAATTCTTTCTTCTGGGGCAGCTCTTCACTTTGAAGTCTGGGTAAAGGGCTGGCAGATGATGTCTTTTGTAAAGAAAGGTATGCTATAAGGGTTACATACTCAGTGTTCTTTCATAGAAGAAATTTACAAGTTGTCGTCCTTCATCTTGCCCCAAGTCTGCTTCCTAATTCAGTATTCCTGTAGGTGTACTACTGAAATACTCCTAACTGCAAATGAAAGCGGCCTGGTGCTCCAGAGGTGTCAGGAATTGCCTGAAATGACATTTGCAACATTTCTTTGAAGTTTTCTCTTCTACTTTAAAAGTTTGTTCAAATTTGGTATTCTGTTCCACAATTTGTTTTAATGTCAAAAAATGTAAATGACTTGCCATCAGAGAGGAAAAGTTCAAAACTTTTCCCCATTCAAAGGTTTTGATAAAATTAACAAATGGGAGGCACATTTGTAACGTGCATGTAACCCAGGGGCCATGCATGTAAGTATGACAGTTTTGAAGCATAGCCCTAATTTCTTTCTTTTTGTTCTAATCCAAAAAACCCGTTGCTGTTGAGTCAGAATCGACCCTATAGAACCGAGTAGAAGTGCCCTATAGGGTTTCCAGGGAGTGGCTGGTGGATTCAAACTGTTGACCGTTTGGTTAGCAGCCGAGCTCTTAACCACTGCGCCGTCAGGGCTTCACTTTTTCTTCTAGGTTTATTTTAATTTTGTTTTATGATTTTGACTCAGACTTTGTTTACATAGCAGGGTGCAAATGCCTGTTATCCAGGCTGTAGTTTCTATGAGAAGTTGGTGAAAATGCGAGAAACCATACTTTACCCTTGTCATTTGTGGTCTCTTTGTAGGAGGAGAGAGCAGTGAGAGATCGGAATCTCCTCCAGGTTCAAGACCATGATCAGCCCATTCCCTGGAAAGTACAGTTTAACTTGGGCAATAGCAGTCGGCCAAGCAATCAGTGCCGTAACTCCATTCAAGGGAAGCATCTCATCACAGATGAACTTGGTAAGGCTGGGCCTTTTCCTGTCCTGCAGTCTGTGAAATCACTGGTGGAGCCATTTGTAGAACATTTTTATAGAGATTTCTCTACAATTTTCTCTAAAAATGTTTCATTTCCAACATTTCTCACATCTGTTTCATACCCTGCTCATCATTTGAAGATCCCCTTAATGTCAGAGAAGTGTGCTTTGATAGCTCTTAAGTGTTCTTTTTGCCTGTGACTTACAGTTAGCATTTTATCATGCATCGGTCCGTACGTGACTTCTGCCAATTTCTCCCCATCCCTGTATTCTCTAATCTTGCCACGGTTCACATCTTGGTGGTGAACTCTGTAGGATAAGAGTTCAGTTTTTCTCCTGGGTAACCTCGATAATATCTTTATGGTGTTGGCACTCAGGAAATGTGCTTGTTGACTGACTGACCAAATAGTTTCAAATGAATTATAAACACATTCAAAATGTATTACTCTTAAACAGTTGAAACATGAGTTTGTTTTGGTGCTTTCTCCCAGGGCTTTCTTGCTTCCTTTTAAGCTTTAAGAAAGGAGATTCCTGCATGGGTTACATGGCTAGACTAGACAACTGCTGGAGCTCTTCTGACTTTGTGCTGGGCACTGTGCTGAAGGCCTTCCTTAAATATTTCATCTAAATATTTCATCAGATTTGTGCAGATCATAAGCACAATACCATTACCACACTTAAAAAAAAAAAAAAAAATCCAGTTATTCCTTAATGTTAAATATCCAACCAGTGTCCAGAGTTCCCTGATTATAAACTTTTTTCTTCAACAGGTAGTTTGTAAAAACCTGTTTTTCTGTTTGTTTGCAAAAGTAAATTTTACTGTCTTTCACAGAGTCCTAGAACAGTTAGGTTATGAACCTGACAATTTAAATTGATACAGGTAGCCTTGTATTAGAATCTTCATCTATACTTAATGAGGCTAAACAAAATGAAGACCACAATGCACTCTTGTTTTAAAAAAAAAAAGTTTGCATTCCCAACAAAATGAAAAAAAAAGAGTTTTTGAAGGCTCTTCTCAGAATTATCAAACAAGAGATGAGAGTGCTGGGAGATGAAGGAAGGAGTCAGGAAAACTACCCAAATAGGGTGGAAGAGCTGGAAAATTTTGCACGACAGAAACACTCCCAACATGGTAATGATGCCACTTTCAATCTCTGTTTTTATAGTCTCATGTTGCAAATAACCTGTTTTTTGTTTTAAACAGACTGACTAAAGTTTAGTAAAGGAAAATTACTTCCACAAGATATCACAGCAAGTTGGTGGCCAGAACTAGGATGAGGACCAAGTATCTTGACTTCTAGTTCAGACTGTATAACATTCAATGAGAAAATATAAAATCTTACGGTTTGATTTAATATGTAGCACTGGATTATGAACAGCTTGTCATTTTCTTTTGTCATAGCTATCAGAATAATAATTTTTTTCTGACTAGTTTAGATGAAACACACTCTCAGTCTCCTTGAGTAAAAAATTCTAAGAATCAAAAATAAATACATAAATATCCAAGAGCCACAGGTTTTATTTTACCTCTGTGAAAGGGGGAAAAGAGGTAAGTAGCTTAATACAGAAAACTTGCAAGAATTTGTGCCTTTTAGAAAACAGATGCCACTGTGAATATTGCCAGAGCAACACATTATTAAATAAGATAACCAATTAGAATTACAAACTTTTCAGACGCTGGAAGTTAATTTCCCAGGCAATGGCATCACACTTGGAGGTTGTGATCTTACAGGACTCATTGGAAGTAATGTTTGCATGAGTAGATTGAGAATGCAAAATAAGAAATCTTGATGAGTTTTCTTTCACCAGAAGTTAGAGGGACCTGTGCGGGTTTCCAGGCTAAGTACTGGAAGTTAGCACTGCGAGGAAGAAGAAGGCCTGAGAAACTGACACTTATAATATGATATAGAAGAGAAAGGGGGAAGAGATAATATCAACAAGTGGAGTTTAGGTCACATAATATTTTGCATCTTCCGGATACAAAGGTGATAGAGTTGCCATGCATTTATTATTTTTGGCAGAATTTTGAGAAAAATGCTGACTTAATTTGGATTCTTTTTGTTTGTTTATAACCCCTGTGACAAAAATGAGTAGGAATAGTTAGGAAGACTCCCTGAAACATTTACTGTGGTTTTAGAATCCTGCTCTCTTAAAAAAAAGCACCAGCTCCCAGGTAACTGTGACCTGGTTCTGTTAAGTGAGGGCCCTTTTAATCTTTTACCACAGTCATTATTCTACTGGTGACCCTTGCTTTTGTACAGACTTTGTTTTCTAGAGTAGTTACTGAAAACAACCTTATACTTCACCAACTCTCATTCTCTGAGGAGTAAGAAGCTGGGGCATTTGCAATAGAAGGATGCTGGTAACAGCTGCTCTGTACCTCAGAGCCCGTGTGTGTACCTGTGGGCCCATGCCTGCACCTGGGGTTTCCCAAGGGCCAAGTGGTATCCCACATGGACTTAGTCTTACATTTTTCTATCCCACTCCCAGAACGATGTAGAGAAATGCCTATTTAGCAGCTCTGAAAAATAAATTAGCCCTTGTAAAGAGATTGTTTCTCAAAAGTTAAGCATGAATTAACTGGGTCAGAGGGTGTGTATGTGTATAGATGATGGGATTTATGAGGGGTGGAGGGAATTAAGAAGTTTCTCTGCCTTGGATATTAGAAAACTCTGCATTCCCTAATGCTGAGGGGTTATTAAACCCTGGCATTTGTACTTAAAAACAACCTACATTGATTTATAAAGATCAGGTAATAGCTAGTTACTTCTTTAAAAATATAAGAAAAAATTAAAGCTACTGAATAAATGGCAAGAATTCAAAAGAGATTTCTAAAGAGTTTTTTCTAATGTACAAGGCTCTCACCTTGATTTTTCTCATTTTCAGATTTTTGTTTGAAAAAGACTGACATTTTTCTTCAGGCGTGATGAAAGATGGTCTTGCATAGGTTAGAATAGGAAAATGTGGATGTGATTAAATGAAATGTGTGACAGCAGACTGAAACACAGGCGGATTATGGTGTGAAACCTGGTTATAACACGAGAGTACATATTTCCTGTAACACATGTCTGATTTCGGCTCTTTGGTGCTTGGGGTGTTCCGGGCTGCAGATTTTGTCTCTGTATTCTTTGAGTGCAGTATTTGCATTGTTTCTTCATGATAGGGGTGGGAGGACTGCTGGTTTTATGCTAAGGTTAGTCTCTGACTTTCAGGATATGTTTGTGAAAGGAAGGATTTGCTGGTGAATGGTTGCTGTAATGTCAACGTCCCTAACACAAAGCAGTATTGCTGTGACGGCTGCTTGTCTAATGGCTGCTGCAGCGCCTATGAGTACTGTGTCTCCTGCTGTCTGCAACCCAACAAGGTATGTGGAGTCACTCTTCATCCTACATCTCCTTTTTCCTTTCTGCCTTTAGTTTATGATGAGTATTAGACTCTTCACGTGAGAGTCTTTTGAAAATAGAACTGGGAATGGAAGTTTGTAGGTGTCAGAAATTGCTGGTGTGAAGTCACCTTTGTCTACTAGGCAAGGAGGTGGTGCTCAGTTACTTGAATGGTTCTCTTGCATAGTGGACCATTGTGTTGCTCTTCAGATATCTGATGAGTAAGATACCCAGCTCCCTGTCTCTCCCTGTGTCTGCTTTTCTCTTAGTTAAGGTGAGATATCCAAGGTTACCTTGTTCTGGCTTCATCTGGAATGTATTACAGGTACAAACTTTTGTTTCCATAGCAACTTCTCCTGGAGCGCTTCCTTAACCGGGCAGCCGTGGCATTCCAGAACCTCTTCATGGCAGTAGAAGATCACTTTGAATTGTGTTTGGCTAAATGCAGGACCTCATCCCAGGTCAGAAACTATGAATTCTCTTGCTGGGGGATGGCTGTTGAGAGTCAGGGGTGAGGTCGCTTTTGTGATGTGATGAGGGAGAAATGATTCAATGAAGCCATGTCCAGCATTGTCTGGTTTTGCGTGGCGTAATGGTAGTATTTAGGATGGCAAAGAGAGATTCAAACAAGGGAAGTAAAACAGAGTAAATCAAAGTCTAATCAGCTTGTATCTCTCCTATCTGAATTGCATGTCTATGCTTTAAGGGGGAGCTTAAAATTATTTTTGAGTCTGGGTGGTGTGCTAATAGTCCAGTTCCTGAGAGAAGTTCTCTCCACCCTGTCTGACTGAAATTTGACTAAGGCTTTGCAGCAACCACTAGTTTAGAGTAAGTAGTAATTTGTTCTGGGGCAGAGTAGTGATTTATTTTAGGACTTCAAGTGGAAGGGCAGGTGGGTATTTAAAAATACATGAATAAATCTGTAGGTTGTCAAGCTCTCAATACTTATTTGCATGCTGTCCTTAACTGCTTTGCTCTTTGGACATCACATATTGCGTCTGCTGCTGTAAGCGTCTGAGAGTCCTTAGCCTTTCCATCGCTCTCTGTGCTCTTGTCTGTCCGCTTTTGTGGTTCGGCATCTGTCATGGCTCTCTTTGTGCAGTCACCAGACGTCCCTCACTATTACACAAGCACGCTTCTCCTGGCTTCTGTTCATGGTGCATCCCAGATTGTCCTGGCTTCATCTGTGATAACTGAGTCATTTGTCTTTCTCCAGAACTCTTGTACCCTTGGTCAGGTTTCTGTATTCCAGCTTTTGATTTTGCTCCTCTTTCATGTCTCTGCTTTGCTCTGAGTGCAGTCGGCATCACTGGATAAATATTTCAGGGGTTGTAATGAGCATTTGAAAACATTAAGAAATTCCTGATAGTCTTGTTTTGCTTGCAGAGCTTTCCACTTGAATGGGCTCTAAAGGAAATGTGGAAGAAGGCTGAATACATGACTCATTTTGATTCAAAGTCTCTCTAATTCTGAGAAATGTTAGAAAAGGCTAAGTGTTTTTTTTTTCCTTAACTGATAAAACCTGGGAGTTAGTTCTAATCTTTAGTGAAGCTACTATGCTTTCTGACTTTATATTTTTATTGTAAAGAGAGATTTCCCAATTGCCATTCAATTTATGTTGATAACAGTATCCCAAGAAAGAGAAGATTTGGCTTTACATCTATTAAATTGGATTAATACTTACAGTTTATTTGCTTAGCGCTGTTCTTGGGCTAATTAACGAACTCCAGACTAGCCAAAAACTCAAGTTGCTTGTATGAAAACAAATTGCTCAAAAATTAGCCATCGGGGATGATTGTCTGTATTAAATCACACTTGCAATTTACTGAGCCAAATGAGGCGTGAGTGGTATTGTGGGGTTTGGCTCGTGTGCGAGACCTGTAGGTACATAAACTTTATGGAAGCGACTTGAAGTGCATCTCCTCAATCTCTCTGCAGGGTTCAGTACCCAGATCTGAATTTCTTTGAAGCACAGGATCAGGCACAAAATACCCGTGGACTCTTATTAATCTAGCTTAAAATGATGTGGAAAAATGAGTTGTCTTGAGACACCCAGGTCACAGCCAGGTTGTTAAAAAACTCACTAGTGTACATAAAAAGAAATGTGTATGCCATGATGTCATTTGCATTTTAATGCTCTTCTTTGGCAGTCCGTGTCAAGTGTTCCTCCTTGTTCCAGAATGTGCCTTGGAGCCTTTTAGTGATATTTGGAGATGGACGTAGCCAGGCTCCTACAGGGAGTAACTGACGGCAGTCCTCTTGTGACTTTTGCCATTCCGTGAGGGAGGTGGTGTGATACCGTGCTGTCTCTCACGGCGGTGTTATCTCCCTTCTTGCCCACAGAGCGTGCAGCACGAGAACACCTATAGGGATCCCATAGCAAAGTACTGCTACGGAGAGAGCCCTCCCGAGCTCTTCCCTGCGTGATGGGCGCAGAGGACTTAAAGCAGGGTGAGAAGGGCACTGCTGAAGGACTGCCACCTGAAGCCAGACTTGAGTGTCCACGCTGCTGCGATGGAAGAAGACAAAGGCGGCGTGAGGAAACCTCGGCGTTGACCCTTTCTTGTGTTGTACTCTTTGGCTTCTCTCAGTGCCTGGGCTTTACCAGGTGGAACTGTACTGTAAAGCAGCCTGGAAACTCCAGCCCTTCTCTCCCAGAAAAGACTAAACTACGGGCCGAGCTTCCGGTGCGGTTGACATTCTTGAATGACTCTGACGTACCTGCAAAGGGAAATGTGACTTGTGTTACCTCTGTGTCCGAAGTCAAGTTTTCGCTTACATTTTTGACCTGGGCCCTTCCACTGTAAAATTATTTATTGAGTTTCTTTGGTGTAGTAGGAAAGTTATAATGTTTTGTGTAGGAAAATGCCTTGCCTTTCTAGTTGAATATATTCAAGGAAATTAGTTTTTTGTTGTTGTTCTTGTGTTTGATCAGTTAAATTATTCTTTTGCCCAGATAAAATGTTTTGTTTCTTAGAATGTGGATCTTCTGCCTAGAATATTTTTGTTTTTGTTTTAACAGCATCTTCCAGAGTGGTCCCTGAACACCAACGTTCTAACCATATCCTGACATATAAAATTATCTGAAAAGTCAAAGACACTGTTGCATTCTAATCATGTGCAAGATCTCTAGCAGTTCATACCCTATGACTTGCACTTGAAATAGTTCATAGCTAGCCTACATTTAGAAAAAGAGGAAAAGAAACCCCAACTTCCTGCCAAAGTGCTCTAAGAGACTCTCATGGTGCCCTTGGCGGGGAGGGGCAGTGGGGTGTGGAGCTGTGTTTGATTGTCATGACTTAGAGGATGCCTGGCTCGTGGGTTGTGGGGTGTCCTGGATCCACACACTTGAGGTGCTCCCCGTTTTTCTGGTGTAACACTGAATCTCTCTGGCTTGAGGCTTAAAGTATTTGGTTCTAAGGTCACGATATTGTGCCCCTTGAATAGTATTGCTTTTTGATTTCAGGAGCCACATTAACTCACAACTCTTTCTTGGAGTCCCTCACTATCCTTGGGATTGGACAAGGCCTCTTTCATTTTCTTCGTTGTTCACATTGTTGATCTGGGAGCAGGGCTCACTACTCACCATCTCACCGCTTTGGGTTTACCTGTCGTGTTGTGGGGGATGACCTTGTAGCGTAGTGGTTAAGAGCTCAGGCTGCTAACCGAAAGGTCGACAGTTTGAATCCACCAGCTGCTCCTTGGAAACCCCATGAGGCAGTTCTACCTATTCTGTACTGTTGCTGTGAGTCGGAATCGACTCGACAACAATAAATTTATTGTGTTGGGAACAAGAGTTACCTCTAGTTTTATGATGAACTTTCAACAGTTTTGTCAGTGATGCTTTCTCCTTTGGCTTCCAGTATGTTTTTACAGTACACAGTGGTAATCCTTAACTTCCTCCTCCTACGTTTCACACTTACCTTCCCAGAGTACTTTGCTCTCCGAAACAGGCCTTCTGAGAGGGTCAGCAAAAAAGAGGAATACCCTTGACGAGGTGGATTGACACAGTGGCTGCAAACAATGGGCTCAAACATAGCAACGATTGTGAGGATGGCGCAAGACTGGGCAGTGTTTCGTTCTGTTGTACACAGGGTTGCTAGGAGTCAGAACCAACTCGATGGCACCTAACAACAACAGAGAGTAAACTGTCAGGCAGTTGTTTTTTAATGCTAGACACGAAGGAATTTACTCTGTTTGCATTGTACTTCTTGGATTCTATGTGTATTCCCTGGTGCTAAATCTTTGCGTGTAGAAGAATTGTGGCATGCCTGAATGTTTTACGACCTTACTCTTTTTGGTAACTCAGAATTTGAGTGTCTGTCTTCCTCTGGTTGTCATTGGTATCAGCAGCATCTTTGAGCTTATCTTAACCCTTGAGCAACCTAACACAGATTTAATGTGACGACATTACATTGTAGGCCAACCGTGTCTACTGACTGGTCGTCTCCAGCTTTGTAGTTGAATAACACGTCGTACGTTTTCAGTGCTTTCACGAACAATAACTATCACCTTTGGAGAGAGAATTAAGCCTGCTTGTGTTCCCACCTCGTCGATGAGGAAATAGCAAGAGGTGAAGTGACTTCCCAGAGTCCCCACTGAGAGTTAATGGCAGAAGCAGAATAAGCACTTCATCTGCGACTCCTGGTCCAGCGTCTTTTCCACCGCTTCTTGCCCGTTCCAAGGCTGACTCATCTGTAAACATCTCTCTTGAGGGCGTATGTATTTCAGTTGTCCAGGCCAAAAGAGGGGAGAGGTGGCATAAATATCCAAATTAAGTTGATAATCCAAAGGTCATTTTCAGTTGGCCATGGAATATGTTTTTTGTACTTAAGTCAGTTAGGGGTATGTTCACTGTTTTGGGAATTCGCGACACTTCGGACTACATAATGAAGCCATGACACCGAAGGACCTAGAATGACGCTCGCCTCCCCAGCCTTCCAACCAAAGATCCCTTTCTGCCCCCTACTCACTGCTCTCTACTCTCTGGTTTGTTTCTAGAAATAGGGACCTTGTCGTATTTTGTATGTTAGAGCCTAGCAAAATGTGTAATTGATGCTTGGAATTTAGGAAAAGGTCACAGAAGGGGAGAAAACATCTTCTTTGCTTTAGAGAAAATGTGTTACTGAGTGTTTTGGGCTAAAGGTAGTTTGGTAATTCCAAGTCTTTTCCCCCATTCTGAATCCTTCATTTACTGGAGCTATAAAGATGAACTGTGGGCATAGCAGGGAAAGAAGTGTACAGTAGAGTATAAATAGGGCTCTGATACCCACTCCCCCCACAAAAAAAAGCCTTAAACCCATTGCTGTTGAGTGAATTCCAACTCATAGCAACCCTATAGGACAGAGTAGAACTTCCCCATACGGTTTCCAAGGCTGTAATCTTTACGGAAGCAAATTGTCACATCTCTCTTCCGTGGAGCGGCTGGCGGGTTAGGACCACCAACCTTTCGGTTGGCAGCTGAGCACTTAACCACTGTGACACCAGGGTTCCTTGGGCTCCGATATAGGCACATAGAAAGGAGGCCATGATTGCCTCCATGGCCTGGAACCCTGGGGCTGGTATTGGCAGCTCTTGGAAAAAAGGGCAGAATTTTAGAGCAGCGATTGTACTTTTCACCATGTTCCCCAAAGCTGATTGAGAGGGCCTCAGGGGAGTGCCTCAGTGATTGTGGATCCAAGGGAACTGGGGGAAGTGTTTCCAGCAAAGCTTTTACCATCATAGGATTCGCAGATAATTTGGAAATGTGCGGAGATGTTGCTTATGTGGGATACTATTCCTAGGTAGGGTAGAATTCTACCTTGTAGTTAGTAACTAGGGATTCCTGGATGGCACAGGCGATTAAGTGCTCGACTACTAGCCGAATGGTTGACGATTCGAACCCACCCAGTGGTGACTCTGAAGACAGGCCTGGGATCTGCTCCCGAAAGGTTATAGCCTTCAAAACCCTATGGAACGTTTACTCTGAACACATGGGATCGCCATGAGTTGGAATCGACTGACGGCAACGAACAGCAGTTAGTAACTACTACTTACTAATGGTGTGCCCTTGGACAGGCGTCTTACTGAGTCTCAGGCCTTTCATCTGAAAAATGAGGGTAACGACATCTGCCTCCCCTGGGTCATTGTGAGGTGTCAGTGTGGGAGAGGACCCCTTGAGGACAATGTCAGGTCGTGGGCGAGGGTGAGGGAAAGTGGACCCCTGGTGTCAAAAGGGTGGTCATTACAGCTCTCTTTTATTACTTCTATTTTAAAACCAACTTATGCTAAAAATAAATTTCAGATAATTCAAAAATATGAAAAAGAAAGGTAATGATAACTTAAAAACCTGCAATCTGTAGATAAGCACAGATTTTTTTTCTATTCCTATGTGACATTTTTTTAGATGCTTTTCCTCTTGAAAACAGTCCTACAGCGGACATCCGTCTATGTTACATATTGTTGCTGTTGTCAGGTGCTGTCCAGTCAATTCCGACTCATAGTGACCCTGTATACAACAGAATGAAACACTGCCCGGTCCTGCACCATCCTCACAATCCTTGCTGTGTTTGAGCCCTTTGTTGCAACCACTCTGTCAGTCCATATCCTTGAGGGTATTCTTTTTCACTGACCCTCTGTTTTACCAAGCATGATGTCCTTCCTTCTCCAGCAACTGATCCCTCCTGATAACATGTCCAAAGTATGTGAGACGAAGTTTCGCCATCCTTGCTTCTAATGAGCATTCTGGCTGTACTTCTTCCAAGACAGATTTGTTCATTCTTCTGGCAGTCCGTGGTATATTCAGTATTCTTCGTCAACACCATAATTCAAAGGCATCAGTTCTTCTTCCATCTTCCTTATTCATTGTCTACCTTTCACATGCATATGAGGCGATTGAAAACACCATGGCTTGGGTCGGGCACACGTTAGTCCTTAAAGTGATACCTTTGCTTTTTAACACTATAAAGAGATCTCTTGCAGCAGATTTGCCCAATGCAATGCATCATCGGATTTCTTCCTTTTTTTTTTCTGTTGTACTTCAGGTGAAGGTTTACAGCACAAATAGTTTCTCATTAAACAGTAGTACACATATTGTTTTATGACCTTGGTTAACAACCCCACAACATGTCAACCCTCTCCATTCTTGACCTTTTTTTTTTTTTGCTGAAAATACACATAGCCAAAGATACACCATTTCAAAAACTTCTACATGCACAGTTCAGTAACATCGACTATGCTCTTCCAGTTATGCTGCTATTCTCACTTTAGATGAAGGTTTACAGAACAAAATAGTTTCTCATTGAACAGTTAGTACACACGTTGTCCTATAACAATGGTTAACAACCCCACTACATGTCAACACTGTCCTTACTCAACCTTGGGTTCCCTATCACCAGCTTTCCTGTCCCCTTCTGCCTT